CTGCACCGCTGAGATGGCGCCCGTGTCAATGATCTGAAATGGCCACGTGGCTAAGTGAAATACATTCCTAATCATATGCAGTAACACTTAGAAAATCCATAACTTTAACTACTTATTTTCACTGCCGAAAAAGATAGATCCGCGTTAGGAAAGTGTAGTATCTCCATCAACTTCTACGTTGCTATCATTTTCTTATTTTCGAAATTTAAAAGTTTCTAAATTCACACACAAACAACGGAAGAGCAAATGCGCCAAACAACAGCAACGGAAAAGGAAAGAAATGGCTAGTGCACCAACTGCCCTTGCGAAGACGCATTTTCTGCATAGTTCCCTGCAGATTTTTGTCGCTAACGGCAGTGTTTTTTTCGACAGATACTTCTAGCTAAAAGAATTGAAACTGATCGCCAGGACTGTAAGGAAACATCCCCTTAATATTACAGCCTTCTAGCTTTTCAGTTCCTCGAGTTAGCAACTTACCTGCAAAAACCTCCATGGGCCTGGGTATTTGGTTGAAACTCATTAAAACCCATACGGACGGGGAACATCCCTTTAAAATTCCTGTCCTCTAGCTTTCAGATTCCGGAGTTAGCAACTTACCCGCAAAAAGCTTTCACGGGTTCGTACGTGGTAACCATGCATAATTGAGGGCTGGGTTTGAAATCATTAAAACCTACCTAGACAAGGGACATCACCTAAAAATTCCAGCTTTCTAGCTTTTCTGGCTCCTGAATTAGTAGCTTATCTGCCAAAAACTTTGATGGGCTCGTACATAAGATGCACGTGGGTAAGAGCACCCATTTTGGGGACTGGGTTTCGTACATACATGTAGATTAAGTTTTCACAGTTTCAGCCCCCTTTGTGGGTCTTAAGAGGAAAAACTGGAACAGATGAACAGAGGGACACAAACGCAGACAAACCCTTGAAAATATGCGTTTTTCGATTGCAGAGATGCGAAAAACGCATAAAAAAAACGAGTATAAAGATCTTGATTAGGTTGGCTACAAAAAAAGCAGTGCAGTTTCAATCAAATTAAGCATGAAGAAATCAACTAAACTGATAGCTCCAGGGGCTGCACTACCGAGAAATAACGGATAACCAAAGTGACAGAATAGACTACACTACTGCGTGAAAGATCTAAACCTTCCATTACTAAACACTGAGCACTGACATTAAATTCAACTGTATAATTTCAGAACAGTCTTTGGGATCAATTGTACCTCTTCTGGTATGCTCAGACTGTATCGTACATCTGGTGGTGCAACACTGCTCAGCGACGCAGTTTCGATAACGCAGTCAGGATGCGCAAGACCGGAACGGAGCTTCGCCGGACGATAATCGGCGTACGTTTCGGCGTACCCCATATTGTCTTCCTGGCAAAAGAAATATGAAAAAATCAGGAAACGGCACTATTGCAAATTCATTTGTTTCGTCAGCTGTCTCCCAAAGCTGTCAGCTGTGAACAAAGAAAGGACAGAGATCCGTTGCTTCCCTGAGCTGTCTTAAAAAAAAAAAAAATAAATAAAAACTAAATGCTGGGTTGGGCAAAAAAAGCAGCTAATCCATAATGTATGTTAAAATCATATTCATTAAATGTTACAACTACTGCCGGGAATACGTGAATCTTGCAGTGTCCCATCACTCTTAGTTCACATAATCAGCGCCTTGATTTATAGAAAAATATCTATTATGATGCAGAAAAATATAAAATTTTACTGAAAAATTAGATGAACAAGGATGTTCCGGTTCATTAAATCGTATACATTCACGTTCAGCATCACAAATTAACATCGCTAGTACGGCAGTTGTGGTACTGATAAAATAAAATGGAATGAATTTTTATGAGAAAACAGGAAATAATCTTAAAAAATAGGAAAAAAAGTTAAAAAAACATTAAAAGAGAATTACAAGAAATAGGAACTGATCGGATGGCACGTAAGAAATACGAGAATTGTCAATTATCAGTATCGGCGCAATTTTCGTTAAAAATTCTTTCAAATTTAAATATTTGCAAAAAAACATAATAAAAATTTTAGAAATTTAAAAATATATAAACTCATCTCATCATCGGCGTTCCTCCCATCCTTTTAATCTCATTCGGAAT